CCAGGAACTGTTCTAGACAGAGAGGGGGCTATGGAATCCTCTCCATAGCTCTCAGAAGCAGGCCCCATTATCCACATTCTACAGGTGAAAAAGATGAGGCTCAGAGTGATTTACAGATGGCTTCAGGCTCCAAGCTCCAAATTCCCTAGCAATGATTGGACATCGAGGCCCTTATCTGCTTACCCTGCCAGGTAGGCCACATGGCCTGTGCCAGGATCACAGGTTAGGCCACTGCTATTCTGGGCTGTGATGCCAAGCACCTTCTCGAGTGACACCTGCAAAGAAAAAGCCCAAGTCAGAGGCACCTGCCCCAGCTGGCACCACATGGTGCAGCTGCCTTGGCCACCCATTCAGATCCTGCTGCATTCAACACCCACTCACTGAGCTTCTGTGGCCATGCCATCCACCAGCAGCTAACACTTGTTCTCTCAACATTCCTTTGACAAATACGACGCTAGGTGAAGAGCACAGAGTGGTGAGGAAGAGACAAATCCCTGCCCTCGTGGGGCTCATGTCCTACTGGTGATGGGTATGTAGGACATAGAAAAGAAGCAGAACAAATATGTGAAACAGATGCCAAGTAATGACGGGTGCAAGAGAGAAGAAAGTAGATAAGGAGGTCAGGAGTGCAGGGGAAGGGGGAGAATGCCATGGTGAGAAGGTGACCTGTGTATAAGCTTCTAAGTACTTTTTTTTGTTTATTTGTTTTTTGAGATAGAGTCTTGCTCTGTCACCAGGCTGGAGTCCGTGGTGAGATCTTGGCTCATTGCAACCTCCGCCTTCCGGGTTCAAGCGATTCTCCTGCCTCAGCCTCCTGAGTAGCTAGGATTATAGGCGCAGGCCACCATGCCCAGCTAATTTTTGTTTTAGTAGAGATGGTGTTTCACCATGTTGGCCAGGCTGGCCTCAAACTCCTGACCTCAGGTGATCCACCCACCTCAGCCTCCCAAAGTGCTAGGATTATAGGCAAGAGCCACTGTTCCCGGCCTCTTAGTACTTTTATATGTATAAAAGACTTGAATCCCCACAACAAGCCAAGTAGAAGGCACTATTATCACCCCTGTTTTACAGGTAAGAAGTCTGATGCCCAAGATCCTACATCTGCAAATGGCAATGTTGATATAGAAACCCAGGCAGTCTGGCTGCAAAGTCAGCACTTTGGGCTGTACAGGAGAGACACAGTAGTGGCCAAAGGTAGACAGTTTCCCCACGTCAGATTCATAGTCCCGAAATTTGAGAGATTTCAACAAGTAAAAAACACATGAACAGTAATATTTAAAATTTAAACAAGGCTGGGTGTGGTGGCTCAGTCAGGAGTTTGAGACCATCCTGGCCAAAATGTCAAAACCCTGTCTCTACTAAAAATACAAAAAAATTAGTCAGGTGTGGTGGCCCATGCCTGTAATCCCAGGTACTCAAGAGGCTGAGGCAGGAAGATCGCTTGAACCCAGGAGGCGGAGGTGTCAGTGAGCTGAGATGGCACCACTGCACTTCAGCCTGGGCGACAGAGTGAGACTCTGTCAAAAAAAAAAAAAAAAAAGAAGGCCGGGTGCGGTGGCTCAAGCCTGTAATCCCAGCACTTTGGGAGGCCGAGACGGGCGGATCACGAGGTCAGGAGATCGAGACCATCCTGGCTAACACGGTGAAACCCCGTCTCTACTAAAAAATACAAAAAACTAGCCGGGCGAGGTGGCGAGCACCTGTAGTCCCAGCTACTCAGGAGGCTGAGGCAGGGGAATCGCTCGAACCCGGGAGGTGGAGCTTGCAGTGAGCTGAGCTCTAGCCACTGCACTCCAGTCTGGGTGACAGAGCAAGACTCCGTCTCAAAAAAAAAGAAAAAGAAAAAAAAAAGGAACCAAACAGATGAGGAAACAGAGGCCAAGAGGGGTTACCCATCCAGGAAGGGGTAGCGCCAGGATTCCAACATAAACAACCAAGCCATGGCACTCATGTTGTCTTATCTGTCGATCAGCATTACTGGGCATTGGTATGAATGGTCATTTTTAGACTAGGTCTTTGCAAGACAGATCAACTCCGTACTGCCAAACAAGAAAAATAAATATTACCCCAAATATACAGTTATAGTATCAGTATTAGCTAACATGAATAGAGTACTTGCCATGTGCCAGTGTTGTTCTGAGTGCCTAGGATATGTGACCTCATTTAATCCTCACAAATACCCTATGAAAGATTTCTACATCATTCTCATTTTACAGATAAGAAAACTGAGGCACAGATAAGTTCATAACTTGGCGGGGCACAGTAGCTCACTCCTGTAATCCTAGTACTTTGGGAGACTAAGTCAGGCAGATCGTTTGAGCTCAGGAGTTCAAGACCAGCCTGGCCAACATGGCGAGACCCTCTGTCTCTACCAAAAAACAAAACAAAATTAGTCAGGTATGGTGGCATGCACCTGTAGTCCCAGCTACTCAGGAGACTTGAGGTGGGAAGATCACCTGAGCCCATGGAGGCTGAGACTGCAGTGAGTCGAGATCACTCCACTGCACTACAGCCTGGATGACAGAGTAAGACCCCATCTCAAAAAAAAAAAAAAAAAAAAAGAAAAAGAAAAAGCAAAGTTCATAAACTACCAGGAAGAACAGGACTAAAGTTTAAGCTCAGGCTGCCTGGGTCCAACCATACCAGTCTGTTCTCTTAGCCACCTTGCTATAATGCCTCTCTGAATTTGATATTGTTATATGTAGTTTAATAGCTCAAAAGGCACTTTCAGGAACATATAAGATAAAGGCTATGACGTATAGGGTGCTGGGCGAGAGATGAAGGTGGGTGTCTGCTTTAGAATGGGGTTCAAGAAGGCCTTTCCAGATAGCGACATTCAGGCTGAGACTTGAAGGATGGGAAGGAGCCAGCCAGGTAGATTGCAGCAAAAAGCCCAGGCTAAGGAGGCAGAAAAGAATATGGAGCCTCAGGAAAACCAAAAGCAGGCCAGTGTGACTGAACGTTGGTGACAGGGAGGACATGGGAGGTACAGCCAGAGCCCTATAGCCAGGAGTGGGCCGTATAACCACAGTGCAGGAGAAAGTCATGGGGCAGGAACAAGCTCCACCAGCAGCTACCAGGTATCCTCCCTTTATCTGGACTCTGTGCCAAGAAGATCACAAGTAAAATTTCACTTCTTTCCAATGCAATAGTATAATTTTTTTTTTTTTTTTTTTTTAGACAGTCTTACTCTGTCGCCTAGGCTGGAGTGCAGTGGCGTGACCTCAGCTCACTGCAACCTCCGCCTCCTGGGTTCAAGGGATTTCTCCCGCCTCAGCCTCCTGAATAGCTGGGATTAAAGGAGCGTGCTAGCTCGGCTAATTTTTGTACTTTTTGTAAAGACGGGGTTTCACCATGTTGGCCAGGCTGGTCTTGAATTGATCTCAGGTGAACAGCCCACCTTGGCATCCCAAAGTGCTGGGATTACAGGCGTGAGCCACCGCGCCCTACCAATACTATGGTTCTTATCATCTCCATTTTATAAAAACAGATTTTGTGCCTACAGAGCTGGAAAACAATTTTTTTTAATTGCCGCTGTGCTAATGGAATTCCTTCTACCTACTGTGAAATCATTTCCTTCTGTGTTTCTGTCTCAAAATTTAGGGAACTGTTCTGTGCGCCCTCCTCCCCAGGCAGCACTGCGGAGATTTCTTTGTCATAGTTTTGAATGACAATATGGATTAAGAATCCCCACCTTGGTGAGGAAAAAGGATAGAGACCGCAGAAGGTGAGAGAAGGCGAGGTAGAAGCGAGGAAGAGTTGGGGCAGGTAACACTCTGGACTAAACCCTCGAAGGGACCTTAATGACCCAGCGGGGGCCAGGGCAGTGAGGCTGCAGTGAGCTATGATCGTGACGTCTAAAGGCGATAGAACGGGGGTTAAAGTATAGGAGGACTAGGCTGTGATTTGCAGAAACAAAATGCATTCCCCAGTGGTGGGAACCAGGGAGGAACCCAGGAATTACTCCAACGCTAAGGGTGGAGCCGGGAATGCAACGAGGAGAGGGAAAGTGGGAGGGGCCATGGCTAAAGGGGCGGGACTTAGGGGACGAAGCCAGGGAGGGAACAGCCTGAGGGGACTGGCCAGGGACTGATAGTCGGGGCCACAGTTCTCAGGACGGGACTAGGGGAAACCCAGGAGGCCTGGAACTGGGGTAGACATGACGAGCAGCTTCTCACCCGGTTCTGCACCGTCTCCTCGGAGGCCGTCGAGAGTCGCGTCCGCCGCCGGAGGCAGAGCGGTGGGGCGGGCGGCGGGGAGGACTGACCCCTCCGCGCCGGAACTCCCGCCATGACAGAGGGCAGCTTCTCCCCTGCATCGTTCCGCGCACAGCCTCCGGACCCTACGGCCGCCATCGTCACGCCGGAGCCGGGCGACCGTTACATCCCTTAACCGCCGCCGCCGCCACCGCCACAACCCACTGAAACAGCAAACAGCCGCGGGAAAGCCGGCGCCGCCGCCTATTGGACACCACAGGCCCGGCCTGGCCAACCGCAGGGCTGCCGGGCGGCGCTTAGGGCCAATGGGAGCGAAGAGGCGGAGCGAGTGCCTGGCTGGGCGGCTAGTGTACTGGATGCCTGATCAAGAGTCGTGGGGTCTTTCATCCAGACTCCGTTTTCATTATTCGCTGAAACATACAGGTTTTAACTTTTACGAGGTTAAGGCCCCAGCTGCCTCACCTCGGTTTTTGCCGCCACCCAGAGGAACTATATGCGCTCCGGCGGTCGCCCGGATATAGGCGTAGGGTGGAGCCGTAAGAGATTGACTGGCCAGTTGATTTGGTTGGCGCAGGCTCAGAAACGACGTGACGCCGCCCCTCTCCCCAACACGTGATGAAAGTCGGGGTGGAGAAGGGCAGGCTTTGCGCAGGCGTACAGTTCTCGCTATAGCCAATTCGCTACGTGACGAGGGCGTGACTGTGGCACTGGAGGGGCGCCTAATAGCCAGGCGCTCTCAGCGCTCTCCCCGGCACGTGACGAGTCTCCACGGACGTCATGTGAGGCAGGCGGCGAGCGCGCGGGCGGGGCGGGGTTCGGCGGCGCTCCACGAGAACCAAAGTGCAGCTGCTGACCCGGCAAAACTCAACGGGGCTGGACAGCCATGCCTAAGTACTGCAGGGCGCCGAACTGCTCCAACACTGCGGGCAGCTTGGGCGCAGACAACCGCCCTGTGAGCTTCTACAAGTGAGCGCAGCGCGGGGCGGGGCTTGAGGGAGGCGGGACCCTGGGAGGGGCGGGGCCCGAGCTTTAGTGAAGCTGTGCGGGCCTTCTGGTCTCGCTTGAGGGTGTTAGGAAGTGGGGTTAAAACGTGAGGAGATGGCCTTCCCGGCAGTGTCCACTGCACCTGCAAAGGTGCTGGCGTGGGAAACATCAGGAGTAGACGATTAACTACAGGTAGCGAACGAAGCGAGACGAAGAGGGAAACGCATGTAAAAAGTGAAGTCGGTGCAGGCTCTGTAAGAGCCTACAGATGCCCACTTGCCCTCCCCACGCATTTGAGCCATCTGAAACTCAGAGCATCCGAAACTGAGCTTGTGATCGCGTCTCCCCCAAAACCTTCCAGTCTGTCCTTAGTAGTTCCCTGATTGCAGCCAGAGGGAGCCTGTGAACACCTGAGTCAGATCAGCTCCCTCCTCTGCCCAGATCCCTTCCCTGACTCCCACCTCACTGTAAAAAATAAAGTGAGGCTGCAGCAGGTAGAAAGCAGGCCTGCAAAGTCCTACAGAGCTGGTTCCCTGATACCAGTGTGACTTCATCTCTTTCCTCCTGCCCTTCACTCCAGTAACACTGGCCTACTTCATGTTCCTGTAGCATAGCAGGCATGTTACTGCCCTGCTATCTTTGCCTGGGCCATTCCCTCTGATTTCAAAGTTCTTGCCTTTATTACTACCACCCTGTGGACAACTGTAACTGACACCGAAACACACACACGGTTCTCTCTGTCTTCTGCTTTATTTTTCCCTTTAACACATCACTGTCTGCATATCGCATTTTCGATGTATGCATTCCTTATCTCCCCCACTAGAATGTCACCTCAATCAAGCCAGAGGTTTTGTCTTTGTCTTTCTTGTTTCCTCTTGTTTGTGTCTCCAACCTCTAGAACAGTGCCTGGCACATAGTAGGTGCTTAGTAAAGATCTGTTGGGTGGATTTGATGAATGCATTTCAGATGGGCTCTCCAGGAAAGCCAGCAGTCCATGTCTCATGGATCCTTTGAGGGACCCTGGTATAGGGCCAAAGGGATTAGGGGGAACTTTAAGCCTGTATATGACTCTGGCAACTGTTGATTAATTCAGCAACTTTTTGAGTATTTCTTGGAGAAGCAAGTAAGCCCCTGCTGGACACAAAGAACCCTGACAGATCTTGTTTCTGCCATGACAGAGCTCATGGATAGGTGAGGGTCAAACATTGAGGAATTGAGTACGTGACCTGCGAGTTACCCATAATCCTTCCTTTTCATCCACCGCTAGTCCATTAACCTGCCCTTTGGCTCTACCCTCAAGACATGTCTCCATCCTGCAACAACCACAACAAAATCTCTAAAACCTTGACAAGACAGTTATGAACACGAATGAGAAAGTCCCAAATAAATCATTAAGAAATAAGGAAAGATAGGCTGGGCGTGGTGGCTCACACCTGTAATCCCAGCACTTTGGGAAGTCGAGGCAGGAGGATTGCTTGAGCCCAGCAATTCGAGACCAGCCTGGGCAACATGGCAAAACCCCATCTCTACAAAATGTAAAAATTAGCCGGACATGGTGGTGCACGCCTGTAGTTCCAGCTACACGGGACATTGAGGTAGAGAATCACTGGAGCCCAGGAGGCCAAGGCTGTAGTGAGCTGTGATCACGCTGCTGTACTCTAGCCTTGGCAACTGTGTGAGACCTTGTCTCAAAATAAATAAATAAGAAATAAGGAAAACACATTCCCAGACTACTACTCATTACATCCACTGTCGTCACATAGTCCGGGCTGCCGTCATCTTTTTTTTTTTTTTTTTTTTTGAGACAGGGTCTTGCTCTGCCACCCAGGCTGGAGTGCAGTGATATGATCTTGGCTCACTGCAACCTCTGCCTCCCAGGTTCAAGCGATTCTCCTATCTTAGCCTCCCGAGTAGCCAGGACCACAGGTGCACACCACCACACCCAGCCAATTCTTTGTACTTTTAGTAGAGGTGGAGTTTCACCATGTTGGCCAGGTGGGTCTTGAACTCCTGACCACAGGTGATCCACCCACCTTGGCCTCCCGAAGTACAGAGATTACAGGCATGAGCAACCATGCCCAGCCCCTGTTTCCACTCTTACCTCACTCATAACAACAACAATAGAGTATTTACCTTATGCCAAGCACTGTTCTAAGTGCTTTGTAGGTAATAATAAGGGGGAATGATGACGACTGTATACAGCAGCCAGATGACTGTATGAAAATCACTTCATGTCTTCGGCCGGGCACGGTGGCTCAAGTCTGTAATCCCAGCACTTTGGGAGGCCGAGACAGGCGGATCACGAGGTCAGGAGATCGAGACCAGCCTGGCTAACACGGTGAAACCCCGTCTCTACTAAAAATACAAAAAACTAGCCGGGCAAGGTGGCGGGCGCCTGTAGTCCCAGCTATTTGGGAGGCTGAGGCAGGAGAATGGCGTAAACCTGGGAGGCAGAGCTTGTAGTGAGCTGAGATCCGGCCACTGCACTCCAGCCTGGGTGACAGAGCGACACTCTGTCTCAAAAAAAAAAAAAAAAAGGGCCGGGCGCGGTGGCTCAAGCCTGTAATCCCAGCACTTTGGGAGGCCGAGGCGGGTGGATCACGAGGTCAGGAGATCGAGACTATCCTGGCTAACATGGTGAAACTCCGTCTCTGCTAAAAATACAAAAAACTAGCCGGGCGTGGTGGCGGGCGCCTGTAGTCTCAGCTACTTGGGAGGCTGAGGCGGGAGAATGGCGTGAACCCGGGAGGCGGAGCTTGCAGTGAGCCGAGATCACGCCACTGCACTTCAGCCTGGGAGACACAGCGAGACTCCGTCTCAAAAAAAAAAAAAAAAAAAAAAAGGAAAATCACTTCATGTCTTCATTGGCACCCAATAGTGACTAACCCATTTACACCTCAGGGCCTACCCCTGAGTCAGTCATGCAGAAGCCACTCAGTTAAGAGTTAGATGAGGCCGGGCGCGGTGGCTCAAGCCTGTAATCCCAGCACTTTGGGAGGCCGAGACGGGCGGATCACGAGCTCAGGAGATTGAGACCATCCTGGCTAACACGGTGAAACCCCGTCTCTACTAAAAAATACAAAAAACTAGCCGGGCGCGGTGGCGGGCGCCTGTAGTCCCAACTACTCGGGAGGCTGAGGCAGGAGAATGGCGTGAACCCGGGAGGCGGAGCTTGCAGTGAGCTGAGATCCAGCCACTGCACTCCAGCCTGGGCGGCAGAGCGAGACTCTGTCTCAAAAAAAAAAAAAAAAAAAAAAAGAGTTAGATGAAAAGCAGTTTCCAAAAGAGGCTTAGGAGAGGGCATGGATGCCAGGTGAGAGATAAGATGAGACACGTTGAGGGAAGTAGCTGCCAGGAAATAACTTGAAATCCTGCTTGGCAGCCAAAGGGAACACTCATTAGTTCACTCTCTGTCTCTCTCTTTTTTGAAACATGATCTTGCTTTGTCACCCAGACTGGAATACGGTGGTGCGATCATGGCTCACTGCAGCTTCAACCTCCCAGGCTCAAGCAGTCCTCCCATCTCAGCCTCCTTTTTTTTTTTTTTCTTCATGTTTCATTTTATTTTTATGCTAGTCAAGCATGGTTGTGTGGGGAGACAATGTTAATCAGCTTAGCAATAACCCACAACACTCAGACCAGCTCCATTTCAGCCTCCTGAGTAGCTGGGACTATAGGCATGTGCCACCATGCCTGGCTAGCCTTCATTAGCTCTGTCTTAGGCCCTTTCAGGGACAGTGGCAATGGGGTCATCTCTTATGGGGGACCTATCATTTAGAATTATATCTGCTTGGTAGTAACAAAGTCCTGCAATAAGAGTTGATTAAACAAATTATGGGGTCTATAGGAATCAGTGTGGTTAAGTTATGCTGCACGAACAAACTTCTCAAATCTCAGTGGCTTACTACAACAAAGGTGTTTTTTTGTTGTTGTTTTGTTGTTGTTTTTTTAAGAAGGGATCTCTATCACCTGGGCTAGAGTGCAGCACCATCATGGTTCACTGCAGCCTCAAACTCCTGGGCTCAAGCAGTCCTCCCGCCTCAGCCTCCTGAGTAGCTGGGACTACAGGCAGACACCACCTTGTCAGGCAAATTTCTCTAATTGTTGTAGAAATGAAGTCCCACTGAGCTGGGTGCGGTGGCTCACGCCTGTAATCCCAGCACTTTGGAAAGCCGAGGCGAGTGGATCACCTGAGGTCAGGAGTTCGAGACCAGCCTGGCCAACATGGTGAAACCCCATTTATACTAAAAATACAAAAATTAGCCAGGTGTGGTGGCACGCGCCTGTAATCCCAGCTACTCAGGAGGCTGAGATGGGAGAATCACGTGAACTTGGGAGGCGGAGGTTGCAGTGAGCCAAGATCGTGGCAGTGAGCCAAGATCATGCCACTGCACTCCAGGCTGGGTGACAGAGCGACTCCGTCTCAAAAAAAAAAAAAAAAAGCCCCATTTCTACTAAAAATACAAAAAATTAGCCGAGTGTGGTGGTAGGTGCCTGTAATCCCAGCTACTCGGGAGGCTGAGGCAGGAGAATCGCTTGAACCTGGGAGGCAGAGGTTGCAGTGAGCCGAGATCGTGCCACTGCACTCCAGCCTAGGCAACAAGCGCGAAACTCCGTCTCGAAAAAAAAAAATGAAGTCTCACTGTGTTGCCCAGGCTGGAACTCCTGGGCTCAATCAGTCCTCCTGCTTTGGCCTCCCAGAGTGCTGGGATTACAGGCATGAATCACTACACCTGGCCCAAAGGTGTTTTTCTTGCTCACACTATGTCCTTTGCAGGTCATTTGTGGTCCTACTCTACAGTATCTTAATTGGGGTCTCAGGCTGAAGAAACTGTCCCTATTTGGAATATTGCTGTTCTTGCGGGAGGAGGAAAAGAGAAAGTGGAGTGAATCATCCGGTGGCTCTTGGTCAATTTTATATTTAGAAGAGGCCCATATCACTTTCACTGGCATTCTTTGACTGGAGCAAGTATATAGCCAGC